CCCAGCATGATTCTCAAGCTGCCCTGTTTGGGACTTGAACTGCAGTCAGCCATGTGGGAGTCTAGTGCCATCCCCACCACTAGCACCTGCTGGCCCTGAAGAATTAAAGTTTTAACAGTTAAAAGTATGACTCTGGAGTTGAATGGGTTATAGATGTTATATTCTGCTTCTCTACTGCTTCATCAGCATCACTTATGACCCAACATTTAAAATTGTATGGTGAGGTAAACTCATTGATAAAGCAGACCTGTCCCCCAAATCAATGCCACCTTCGGAGCTCCATTTCTGGTCTGTGAATGGGTAGGAATTGAGGACTATTCTGATCCCAAGAAGAGTGGTCCATAGAAGCAAGGTAAATGTCATGTCTAGTGGCAAGTGTATAGAATAAATTTTCTCTGGTACCCCAAATTCTGGATTCTCAGATAGCTGACTATTCAGTCTGATAACAAGAAATAGCGTATTAGGATTTAAGTAAAAAGAAAGTAGTAATAATATCAAAAATATCTACAAATGAGCTCAAATGTTTATCTTTGTATTTATGAGATAATTTTGTGACATTAACTTGGAGCCAACACAGAGAGTCTCATTATTGATAGCATTCAATATCAATGTCCCTGAAGTGACAACGCTGTCTAGGCAAGCAAGAATTTTCATTCCACCTAAATATTCCTAAATGAACTAAACACTTACAGAATTATTTTCTTCTTAAGCATTGCTCTTGTTGATGTCTAACTTCACCTGTTGTATCATCATACCCCTAATTTTTTTAAGAGATATTTTTTTCTGTAGGGGATGTGCGTTCAACAAAGAGACAGAGAGACAGAGACAGAAAGCGAGAAATCACCGCCCAAGGGGAATGGCCATGCTGCATTCCCTTCTCTATTCACCTCTTGGGATCTTGGGCTGCACACATATGCACCCAGTGTGAGGTTATTTATTTATTTTTTTTTGAGAGTTTTTTGCTATAGGGTGCGTGCGCTTGCCAGACAGACAGAGAGAGACAGACAGAACGTGAGAAATCACCCCCCAGGGGATGGCCATGCTGCAATCTCTTCTCCTCCATTCTCCTCTCTGGTTCTTGGGCACACATGCACACACACCCAGAGTGAGTTTTAAGCCACCGGGTCCGGGATGCGAACAGCAGTCGACTACATGGGAGGCCAGTGACATAGCCATTATGCTAACTGCTGGTCCCAACCCATAAGCCCCAAGGGCCAGGACTTTAATCATGGTAAATTAGGGGGGAGTCCAGTGATGTAACCACTACACCATCTTCTGGTCTCCTTACCCACTAATTTTAGTCTGATATAGTAAACATTCTTGAAGTTTTAAGTGAAATTATTTTGAGAAATAATGTAGTAGATGTCTTGAAATTCATGGAAGTGGTGTTAGGGAACTGCTTGGATGAAATGAAATGCCCCACTGACAAATACATTAGAATGATTAAAATGTGGAAAACAATATAGAGATTCCTCAAAGATGTACAAATAGAACTATCATATGATCTAGCAATTCCACTCCTGGGTATGTGCCCAAAGGATAGGAGAATATTTAGTTAGAAAAGCGCTTGCAAATCTATGTTCATTGTGGCAATATTCATGATTGCTAAGACATGGAACCAACCCAAATGTCCACGAACAGAATAATGGATTGAAAAAGTGTGGTGCATATACTGTATGGAATACTACTCAGCCATAAAAAACCCAAGACCCTGACATTTGATAGAAAGTGGGCGAATATGGAAAATTTACTGCTCAGTGAAGCAAGCCAGGCTAAGAAGGAGAGACATTGTATGTCTCCACTTAATATACCAACAGTCCACACTCTATGGCTGAAACTGATAGACTAGAGCATATAGAAACATGGAAAATGGGTATAAATGCAGGATACAGTGTGGGAAGAGGGTGAGAAAAGGAGGAGAGTGTGAGGAAATACATTAAGGAGAAAACTAGAAAGGCAAGACATTTAAGGGACACAGAAATGGATTAATATCTGTTGATGTAAACAAGTATAGTATTCCCAACTGGACAGGTGTGAAATCTATTCATGTTAGAAAATTCACTTTACAAGTTAAGTGATGTATAGTGATTGAATGTATAAAAGAAATTAAAATAAAATGAGATGTATTTTAAAATGATTAAATTGTGAATAAAAACAAGAAAAAAATGTTAAAGAATAGAAAATAAGTTTTACAATAGAGTGTTAATTTCAGCATTTGTTTTTATTACATTAACATAGCCATTTACAGTTAGTTGCTCTAAAAACTTCAGTTACACGCGATGTCTCAAATACAGACAGTGGTATAATCCTAGAAAATGTCCAGCTGAACAGTGGGATATTGGAGCACATTGGTGACTATTCTGAATTTTTTAGTATGGTCAGATAAATGTATTTTATTTTGGTTCTCCGGCTAGTCATTATTTTTTGCTTTGGTAACACCACCATTTAACATTCATTACCACTGACTAACATGATGACATAAAAAAAATCGTCCTTCTGTGCCACATTTAACTGTCAGAGTGCTTACAACGAGAACAAACCTTCATGGAAACATTTCTGTTCAGACTATTACATTAGAATGGCTCAATATAATTTTCATAGATCTTTCTTTTTTAAGATCATTTGTCTAACCAGATCTGCTATGTCAGGCCTGATAACTTCAATGGGCTCCTCTGGCCTCCAGAACTTCACAACTTGACCCTCAGGATTGATCAGATACTTCCAAAAATTCCACCTTGGTTCCATTTTTGATGAATCAACAAGAAATCTAAATGCAGGTTCTGCTTCAGATCCTAGAATCTTAATCTTGTGGAAGATGGGAAACGTTACTCCATAGTTTTTTCTTTCAAAAGATTCTACTTCCTTGCTGGGACAGGGCTCCGATTGTCCAAACTTATTGCATGGAAAAGCCAAGACACTGAAGTGGAATGGTCCAAACTCTTTGTGCAGTTCCTTCAGGGCTAAGTAATTTTTGTCTGTGAGTTGGCAGTCACTAGCCATGTGACAACTAGTGCAACTTTGCCTTTAAATTTTTCCAGAGAAACAATGTTTCCTTTTGTAACCTTCACTTCAAAGGCATAAAAGCTGTTGACTTTTGGTTTTAGAAATTTTAGTTGTAGAAGAAATAACATCACTGTGCATAGAACCATAGACAACAAAACTGCAAAATCCTTTGCTTTGGGCCTGGAACATTCTAATGAGTAAGTTGTAAGAGGCTCCATTTGGATGATGCACTACAGATATTTTTATACCACTGAAACATTGTTACTATTAACCCTTGAAATAAAAAGTTAAGCGAAATTTTGAATTGTCACACTCTATTTTTCTAGAATGTAATAACGAGAAAAATGAAAAATACTTGTTCCACAATTTTTTTCTTTTTTCTTTCTCTTTCTTCTTTCTTTTCTTTTCTTTTCTTTTCTTTTCTTTTCTTTTCTTTTCTTTTCTTTTCTTTTCTTTTCTTTTCTTTTCTTTCCTTTCCTTTTCTTTTCTTTTCTTTTCTTTTCTTTTCTTTTCTTTTCTTTTCTTTTCTTTTCTTTTCTTTTCTTTTCTTTTCTTTTCTTTTCTTTTCTTTTCTTTTCTTTTCTTTTCTTTTCTTTTCTTTTCTTTTCTTTTCTTTTCTTTTCTTTTCTTTTCTTTTCTTTTCTTTTCTTTTCTTTTCTTTTCTTTCTTTCTTTCTTTCTTTCTTTCTTTCTCTTTCTTTTTGGTAGCCAGAGAGCACTAAAACTCACCAGAAGGATAGAAGGAGAAAGACAGAGAGAGGGAGAAAGGAATCCTTAGTGGGGTACAGTCACACTGTAATCCCTTCTTCTCATTTCTCCATCCTGTCAAGATTTTGGGCATGCTCACACATGTGCCCAGTATGTTTTTCAAGCTGCTGAGGCCAGGATTCAAAGTTGATTCAACCATATCGGATCCAGTTTCCTTAACCAGTAGGCTAGGGGCTGACCTTATTCACTTATTGTTTTTAGATGTAGTATACATTTGTAATTGTAATTAAAATTTAGTCAACTACTAGAGAAAATATTTCTTTCTATATTTTAAAAATTTATTGCTCAAAATAAATCCCAAGCAAATATCAATTTTTATTCACGTACTATAATAAAATTGATCAAAATTTTAAAAGGTCTATTTAATTTTTTTTTCACCTAGAACAGGTAAGCATTAGATAAAGCCTGTCTACAGTTCTCTTCTGCCTGGGACTATTCCTACCATTTCAGAGAGCAGCTTCAACAGTTCAGTTTTTGATTTAAGAGACCAGAGCAGAAATTTTACCATCTCCTACACATAGTTGGAAATTGCAGATAAACAGAGTAGATTAAGAAAAACTGCACTTTTGATGACCATTCAAAAGTCCAATTTTATTCTATGTGAGTAGATTTGGGGAGCGTTCTTAATTATGGAAGAGCTAGGTATTCTCTCTTAAAAAGAGAGATTCAAAGTGATGGGAAAAATAGAAGGTCCCAGGGAACTGGTTGATGCTCAGAAGGTGTCTTGGAAATGGAGTTGGGGTAATGTTCAAATTCCCAGAGAAGTTTGGGAATCTCTGGATAAAAAGAACCCTGAGGAGGGCCTTATGAATGTGTTCAAAGCCCTGAGTTGTGGTGGTATGTGTGTCAACAGAGGTGGAAACATGAGGCCCTTCAACTTTCCCTGGTCCCAGAGACAGGGAGGACAAAGGAATGCACTCAGAAATTAGCAAAGTAAAGGCAAGAGACACAAACCTTAAGCATGTGGATTCTGCAAGTGGGTGTTTTAGCTGAAAAGCAGTGTAGCCCAGGGCCAGATCCTAAGTAATGGTGGCATGAAGCGACCAGAAGCTCAAATAGAGCATTCAGTCTACTCATAATCTACAACTTCAGCTTTTCAAATGGTGAAAATATAAAAAAAGAAATGATAAATTAATAGTTTACATGCTAGTTTGTGTATTTCCTCTGTATAATTTAGCTTTTACATTTTTTTGCCTATAAATCATTAAGCTACAGTGAATGCCATTTGTTTCAAACTTTCTGGAGATTGTTTTTCTTCAGAATTTTTTTCAAGGCACTTATCACTTCCTTATTTCTCAGGCTGTAAATAAAAGGGTTTAGTAAGGGAACTACTATTGTAAACAAAATACCAGCTGGTATATCTTTATCCCCTTCTTCAAGTAAATTTGGTCTAATGTACATAAAGAAAAGAGATCCATAGAATAATGAAACTGATAAAAAGTGGGATGCACAAGTAGAAAAGGCTTTGACTCTTCCTTCTTTAGATTTCATTTTAAAAATAGTAAAAAGAATGTAGAAATAAGATATTAAGACACTACCAATGGTGAAGACTTGAATGGAGCCTGAAAAGACAAATAGTACCAGCTCGTTGACATAGGGGTCAACACAGGAGAGTCTGTACAAGGGAAGAATGTCACAATAAAAGTGGTTGATGTGATTAGACCCACAGAAGGCTAACCTAAGTAGAAGCCCTACATGAATCATGGAGTGTAGGTTTCCTGCTGTGAAGGCCCCTGTGGTCATCTGAATGCAGAGTTTCTTGGACATCATGGTGTGGTACTGCAGTGGGTTGCAAATGGCCACATAGCGATCATAAGCCATCGCTGCCAGGAGAAAGCAGTCCGCAGTCTCAACTGTGCAAAGAAAGTAAAACTGGACCATACATTCATAAAGAGAAATCCTTTTGTCTTCAGAAAATAAGTTCTCTAACATCTTAGGAATAATGGCACAGGAACAGCCAGAATCCACAAGAGCCAGGTTGCCCAGAAAGATGTACATGGGTGTATGAAGATGACGCTGTGTAAGAATTAGGGCCACCAGACCAAGATTCCCTACTGTAGTGATCAGATATATGGCCAAGAACATGACAAACAGCAGAGTCCTTAGGTCTGAGTGAGCTGTAAATCCTGTGAGGATAAATTCTTTTTCCATAGTGTAATTTTCTTCAGGCATCCTTGACTTTTCTGAAAGAAAAATTGTAGAAAGAAAAAGTATTAATTAGCAATATGCCCCATACAACTTCTGAGTTCTCTTGGGTCAAAGGTAAGAGAACATCTCCTCCAGTGCTTGTATATGTCACCAGGACTGTGGTGCATGCTTGGTTTTGGGAGAGAATCAGTCTCTTAAAATTATTACTTTTCAGGGCATTGATTTAATATTTTCCCAACATATTTTGATGAAAAATATCAAATTAAATGTCCAAAGATGACATTTGAGATCTTGAAAGAAATGTTCAGAACTGAGAACTTCTCTGTATGGGTTATGCCTAGTTGTTTTTTAATTTAAATGTTACCAATTGATAGCAGTGCTCTTAAACAAGCTCACTGACTGTATATGTAGTGAATAATGTTATTTAAAAGACTATTTTCACACACCAATGTTTATAACAGCTCACTCACAAAAGCCAAAAGGGCAGATACCAGACAAATATCTATAGACCGACATATGGCTAATATGTGGTATAAGCATTCAATGGATTGAATCTTCAACAGGAATGCAATTCTGACACATTACATTGATAAATCTTTATGTTAAGTGAAATAAGCCAGACTCAAGGGTGCAGATGAAGTATAATTCCACTTTTATGAGGGATCTGGAGTAGTCAAATTTGGAGAGACAGAATTTAGAATGGTGCCTGTCAGGGGGGCAGGAACATGGGGAACTGCTATTTAATGAGTACAATTTTGCTGTGGGAAGGTGTAAAAATTCTGGAGATAACTGATGGTGATACTTGTTTGACAATATATGTGTACTTAATGCTGTTGAACTATAAACTTAAATATGACCAAAATGGCAAATTTGTTGTGATAAATATTTTACTACAATAAACATTCTTAAATGACTATTTTTATTTTTTATTTCTTTATTCTTATGTACTATGTTATTTCTAATGCTATGAGAGTATACACTTAAAATGCTTTTGGGGAAAAAGTGATCTGTTTATAATGTATTTATACCACTGGAGGGTGGGAGGGAAAATAATGGGGATAGAAATGGGAGGAGAGAGTGAAGGTATGGGAAAGAAATGACAACAGCAAAAGGCTATAGTAAAAAACTTGCAGGTTATTGATAATACCATATTGTCTGACCCGCCGACGGCGAACAGTTCCTGAGCTGGGGGCTGAGGATTAAAGAAAGACAAGAAGACGGGATAGAAACGTGAGGACTGCCAGTCAATACTGGTCAGCACCGAATGTATTTTATTGCTAGTATTTATACACACTCCAGAGACTTCTGTGATGTAAGGTTTTAAGTCCTTACTGAATTATCAGGTTGTTATAACAATACTTCGGAACATTCAGTTCAAAACAATCTCAAGACATTCTGCTCATGCAAGGCCATGTCCGGATAAAGACCCTGTTCTTATTCTCGTGGTCATGTCCTGCACACTTCTCATGTCTCCTCTTTGGCTTCCCACACCATTTATACATGCAATATGAAACCTTCCATGTGTGCATGTACACAGACATTTAAAAGCTATTAAAAGAAACTGCAGAAATCCTAAGGGATTAAAAAAAAAGATAAATTCATTTATATAAGTGTATGTCAAAAATCATGAATAAAATCAAATGTCAAACACAAATTGGGAGGTTATTTACGGTAAATAGGACAATGTTTCTCTAGCTTAGTCCATAAAGAACTTATACAAATCAGTAAAAATAATCACTAGGAAGCAGGTAAATGACAGGAAGAGAAACATCTCCAAAGAAACATAATTTTTAAAACTTAAAAATGTTTGACTTCAATATTAATCAGAGAAATAGTATTTGATGAGGCTAAGTGGATATGTATATTTATCCAGGGCAATATCAAAACGTTTTTAAAAAAGAAAAAAAAATGATAATATCTAGTGTAGTCTAGAGTACCCTGTAGTGGGAGCCCAACAGCATTTCTGGTTGGGATATAAATTGGTGCGATCATTAGAAAACAATAAGTAACAGATTAAGGTAACTCCAAAGTGTTAACATTCTATTATTAATAATACAGTTATCAGGAAGAAATAATTATAATCTTGTGCAAAGATTTACATATTACGATGTCCATCATAATTTTACTTATAATCACAAAAAATTTAGAATGTCTAAATGGTAACCATTTGGTCAGTATGATGAAGTAAATGTGAATCATGCACATCATGGTATGTTGTGCAATTATTAAATATAATTTACTGGGCCAGCAGATGGTGTGGAGGTTAAGGCAACTGGATGTCACACCGTTGACTGTGTGGTTCAAGTCCTGAACCTGGTGACTTGAAATCACATTGCGTGCAAATGCAAGGGTGCCCAAAATCCAGGCAGAAGAATGAGAAGAATGAAGTAGAAGGGATTTCAGCATGACCATCACTCTGGGAGGCGACAATTTCTCACTTTCCCTCTCTGTCTCTTAAAAAAAAGAGAAAAAAGTTGTTTACTTAGAATATTTGTTGTAATGATAATATAGATACAAAAATATTAAATGAAAATCAAAATAGATTAGTATCAAAACATCACATTGTACTCTATAAATATGTCCACATATTATGTATCCATAAAAATAAGAAAAAGGAAAAAAATACAAAATGGAAAATTTTATATACAGAATAATCTCAACTTCCAAAAAAAAAAATACTTACATGTAAGTATAATACAAAGCATGAAAATAAGCAATATGTTTGGTAATAAACATAGGTCACATTTTCCTTGTATTTTCTTTTATTCCAAATACTTAAATGTCAAATAACTATTTCAGTATTTTATCAAAAAAATTGTTTCTATTAAGTAAATAAAATGATGTACTACTAGATCTGTTATGTTTTATTTTATTTATTTATTTATTTTTGGAGAGGTTTTTGCTATAGAGCATGTGCACTCACCAGAAATACAGAGACGGAGAGACAGAAAGCAAGAAATCACCCCCCCCTCGCCTCCACCTGCCGCAATCCCTTCTCCTCCATTCTCCTCTTAGGATCTTGGGCACGCACGCATACACACCTGGCGTGAGTTTAAGCCACTGGATCCGGGACTCAAACTGCGATCGACTACATGGGAGTCCAGCGACATAGCCATTACGCCAACTGCTGATCCTGGTCTGCCATGTTTTATATCTGGTAGGTCCATAGTAACTACTGGGTATGCAGTTTACAATTCTTATAGTACAGAACATCACAGTGGATGTATTGAATGAATGCCTGTTCCATCCTCATGATAATGGCATCGACAATTACGAAGAACAATAATTTACTGACCGTCTCACATGTGTCTCAGCCATTCAGGAATATGTTCACATCTTGGGATAATGCATTTTTAAGATCAACTGCTGTTTTGGAATGCAATGTCTCTTTGGTGTCAATTTTTACTCTTGAAAATATGAAGTATTTCCGTGGTATTCAGATAGTCTATGGTGCTCACATTTATTTTTAAAGAATTATTTATTTTATTTTATTTATAGTTATTATTATTTTAAAATTTTTACTTTGGGATATGTGTGCTCACCACAAAGAGACAGGGAGAGAAAGGGAAAGTGAGAAAGCAAATTTCCAGGTCCAAGACTCGAACAGTGTTCGGCCATATGGGAGTCCAATGCCTTAACTACCATGCCACCTGCTGACCCTGGTGCTCACATTTATTAAAGTTCAGGGTATTTAAAAAAATTTGTTTATTGGGACCAGCAGTTAGTGTAATGGCTATGTTGCTGAACTCCCATGTAGTCCACCGCGGTGCGAGTCCCGGACCCAGTGGCTTAAACTCAAGTCAGGGGCGGTTTACCCAGTGGCTTAAACTCACGCCAGGTGCGTTTGTGTGCATGCCCAAGATGCCGAGAGGAGAATGGAGGAGAAGGGATTGCGGCGTGGCCATACCGCCTGGTGGGTGATTTCTTGCTTTCTGTCTCTGTCTCTCTCTGTCTTCCTGGCAAGCACATGTACCCTATAGCAAAAACCTCTCAAAAAACTCCGCAAAAAACAAAAAAAAGAAAAACAATTTTTTTAATCTACTTCTCAGATATATCCTTCCAGTCATAAAGTTCTTACCTATTAGGGAATGTTTTATTTCAATCTGCTTTCATATATTTTAATTACTTTGAGATTAATTTACTTATTGACCTGATATTTCAGTTGTTAATTTCAAATTAACAGTTTTCTGTATATTCATTAACCACAATTTCGCTCCAACTATCAGAAACAGAGGAAAAGCATTTTGGAGAGATATGAGATCTCTTTTTTTGATTTCCTGAAAATATTGCTAACTTTTAAATGTCACTATTTGGAAATGACATCTATTGGAACAATATTTTAAAATGTACATTTGAAATCTAGATATTACTTGAATAATTATTAAATGCCTTACCCCTGCCAGCTTCAAGTTACATGAAACAATAAAGTTGCCTTCAGTTTTTCCAGTTGTAATTGATCTTGTAGAAATGTTTCACCTTGATATTTTATTTCTCTAAGAATCAAAAGAAAGTAGAATGCTTCCTAAAATTATATCTTGGTTTGAAGAGACTATCTTTAAATGGTTGAACTTGTTTATATAATTTGTTTAATAATAGGGAATGCTTAACAGAGATTTTAAACATTATTTTTTCCATAGAGTTTAATAATGTATTTTATCAAGTTGTAAGTTGTATGGCAAACCACATTATTCAAAGCAATTTCAAAAACTTTGCTACCACTTTCTGTTATTACTACAAAATCGTGCTCTTCTTTACTTTTGGTATATTTATATAGGCTACTCTTGAATTTAGAAGCGATACAAATGATTAATGGTCCTTTGTGCAGTGTCTCCACAATTGATCTCAAAGTAAGAGATGAACAAGGAGCTTAAAACATTGAAAACAATGATTTGTAAGGGGAAAATATCTCTAAATAATTTAGGGAAATACATACTTGAAGATAATGCTATTTCCCACAAACATGAGTTTTAAGTTTTGTCTCACCTGGATTTTCCTGGAATGAGTTTTAAAGAGGCCAGTTGTTT